AAACACTATGGGTCAGTGGTGGAATGGTCCAAGTCCAGGCTGATTTACGGGGGGGGGGGGGGTCCGCCTGGTTCTCCCCCCGTCTCTAAGACACATGGACTAGATTACTGTAGAATAGCCAGAGCCCTGAGAGAGTTATATGGGGGCTTTGCCTTGGGCACAGACACTAAGCAGGCCTACAGTAGGACAGGACAGGAGACACTGGGGAGAGGTTGACCGGACCCCCTGTTTGTTTGTCAGTGAAACAGGGCAAGCTTACAGTATAACAGGGCAGCCACAGAGGGGAAGTTGAGTTGACCTTCAGGTGTGAACTGCATGAAGGAGCTGAGCCATACCGTACTGTACAGGGGGTTGGGGCGGCTGCCTTGTGGGCATTGAGCGAGAGAGTGAGAGGAGGTGTGTGTGTGTGCGTGTGTGTGTGTCAGTGGGGCTTTTATGGTGACCTTCAAGTGTGAACTCCAACTTTCCCCCATGGCCTCACTCATACTCACTTCATTACTCCCCTGTAAACCACACTAATCACCAGCTCTGCCCCTCTCCCTCCCTCTGTCTCATAAATCATGGTGGGGTGCTGTGATCTCTGCCTGCCACACTACACTTTAGGGGACCAAGAGCTTAGCTCTGCTCAGGGACTCTCTCACGCATGCACGGCGCCACCAGCAGCTCTGTTCAGTATCTGCCAATGACATGGCTCCTTGCCACTATCAGCAGTCATAAATTAGTCAAACGTAAAACACATAATAGGAGCATACTGTAACTGCACTGTTATGGAGGGACAGTACATTGTGGTGGGAATCTGTGGGAGTTATACTCATGGGACTGTACTGACTGATTCATGGTGAGAGTAGTAGTGTGCTGTTTACAGTGTGTTCGGAAAGTATTCAGACCCCTTGACTTTCACATTTTGTTACGTTACAGCCTTATTCTAAAATTGATTAAATTGTTGTTGTTTTTCTCATCAATCTACACACAATACCCCATAATGACAAAGCAAAAACAGGTTCTTAGAAATCTTAGCAAATTCATATTTTTTTAAAATGTACTTAAATCAGTACATTGTTGAAGCACCTTTGACAGCGATTACAGCCTTAAGTCTGGCTGGGCCACTCAAGGACATTCAGAGACTTGTCCCAAAGCAACTTCTGCATTGTCTTGGCTGTGTGCTTAGGGTCATTGTCCTGTTGGAAGGTGAACCTTTGCCTCAATACCGACTAGTCTCCCAGTCCCTGCCGCTAAAAAACATCCCCACAGCATGACGCTGCCACCACCATGCTTCACCGTAGGGATGGTGCCAGGTTTCCTCCAGATGAGACGCTTAGCATTCAGGCCAAAGAGTTCAATCTTGGTTTCATCAGACCAGAGAATCTTGTTTCTCATGGTCTGAGTCCTTTAGGTGCCTTTTGGCAAACTCCAAGCGGGCTGTCATGTGCCTTTTACTGAGGAGTGGCTTCCGTCTGGCCACTCTACCATAAAGGCCTGATTGGTTTGCTCAGTTTGGCTGGGCAGCAAGCTCTAGGAAGAGTCTTGGTGGTTCCAAACTTCTTCCATTTAAGAATGATAGAGGCCACTGTGTTCTTGGGGACCTTCAATGCTCCAGAAATGTTTTGGTACCGTTCCCCAGATCTGTGCCTCGACACAATCCTGTCTCGGAGCTCTACGGAGAGTTTTTGCTCTGACATGCACTGTCAACTGTGGGACCTTATATAGACAGGTGTGTGCCTTTCCAAATCATGTCCAATCAATTGAATTTACCACAGATGGCCTCCAATCAAGTTGTAGAAACATCTCAAGGATGATCAATGGAAACAGGATGCACCTGAGCTCAATTTCGAGTCTCATAGCAAAGGGTCTGAATACATATGTAAATAAGGTATTTCTGTTTTTATTTGTAAGAAACATTTCTATAAACCTGTTTTCACGTTGTCATTATGAGGTATTGTGTGTAGATTGATGAGGGAAAACAATTATTACATCCATTTTAGAATAAGGCTGTACCGTAACAAAATGTGGAAAAAGTCAAGGGGTTTGAATAAGGGGCTGTTTGAAAGGGGGTCATATAAACATTGCCTTATATTTTTTACAGATAACATACCACATCTTCTGTCTGAAATAGTCATTACACATTTGAGATCAGTTAACTTCTTAAGGATGGATTTTTCAATTTTTGCCTAAAATGACATACCCAAATATAACTGCCTGTAGCTCAGGACCTGAAGCAAGGATATGCATATTCTTGATACCATTTGAAAGGAAACACTTTGAAGTTTGTGGAAATGCAAAATTAATGTAGGAGAATATAACACATTCGATCTGGTAAAAGATAATACAAACAAAAAAAACATGTGTTTTCTATTTTTTGTTGTTGTTCCATCATCTTTTAGATTTTGGCCACTAGATGGCAGCAGTGTGTGTGCAAAGTTTCAGATTGATCCAGTGATGCATTGCAATACTGGACTATTTTGTATCAAGTCTGCCCAAATGTGCAGAATTGGTCAACTGATACATTTTCAAGTACATAACTATAGAGAACATACAATACATTGTGCTGGGGACATTTTTACATTACATTTTAGTCATTTAGCAGACGCTCTTATCCAGAGCGACTTACAGTTAGTGAGTGCATACATTAAAAAAAAATATATATACTGGCCCCCCGTGGGAAACGAACCCACAACCCTGGCGTTGCAAGCGCCATGCTCTACCAACTGAGCTACACGGGGGACAATAAAAGACCACTCTAAAATGTATAGTTTTGTCACACAACACAATGCCACAGATGTCTCAAGTTTTGAGGAAGCGTGCAATTGGCATGCTGACTGCAGGAATGTCCACCAGAGAATTTAATGTTAATTTCTCTACCATAAGCCGCCTCCAAAATCGTTTTAGAGAATTTGTCTGTATGTCCAAACGGCCTCACAACCACAGACCATGTGTAACCATGCCAGCCCAGGACCTCCACATCTGGCTTCATCACCTGCGGGATTGTCTGAGACCAGCCACCCAGACAGCTGATGAAATTGTGGGTTTGCACAACTGAAGAACTTCTTCACAAACTGTCAGAAACCGTCCCAGGGAAGCTCATCTGCGTGTTCGTCGTCCTCACTGTGGTCTTGACCTGACTGCAGTTCGGCATCTTAACCGAATTCAGTGGGCAAATGCTCACCTTCGATGGCCACTGGCACGCTGGAGAAGTGTGCCCTTCATGGATGAATCCTTGTTTCAACTGTACCGGGCAGATGGCAGCATGTATGGCGTTGTGTGGGTGAGTGGTTTGCTGATGTCAAAGTTGTGAACAGAGTGCCCCATGGTGGCGGTGGGGTTATGGTATGGGCAGGCATAAGCTACAGACAACAAACACAATTGCATTTTATCGATGGCAATTTGAATGCACAGAGATACCCTGATGAGATCCTGAGGCCCATTGTCATGCCATTCATCTGTCGCCATCACCTCATGTTTCAGCAAGATAATGCACGGCCCCATGTCGCAAGGATCTGTACCCAATTCCTGGAAGCTGAAAATGTCCCAGTTCTTCCAAGGCCTGCATACTTACCAGATATGTCACCCATTGAGCATGTTTGGGATGTTCTGGATTGACGTGTACGGCAGCGTGTACCAGTTCCCACCAATATCCAGCAACTTCGCACAGCGCTTGAAGAGGAGTGGTACAACATTCCACAGGCCACAATCAACAGCCTGATCAACTCTATGCGAAGGAGATATGTCGCACTGCATGAGGCAAATTATGGTCACACCAGATACTGACTGGTATCTGTGACCAACAGATATATATCTGTATTTTCAGTCATGTAAAATCCATAGATTAGGGCCTAATGAATTTATTTCAATTGACTGACTCCTTATATGAACTGTAACTCAGTAAAATCATTGAAATTGTTGCATGTTGCCTTTATATTTTGGTTCAGTGTATGTTTAGTTGAGGTATAAAGTGATGCAGTAGGGGGAAAAAATGTATCTAACAATGCACTTAGCTATTCTACGAGTGGTCTGAGGCAGTTGGTAAATAACAACCGTTTTCAAGTGAAACTTTACAAACAACGTTTTTTTCGGAAACGAAGGATGAACTTAGCCTTAAGATGCTTTTGGGAAACCGGGCTCTGGTTACTGAAAAGACATGTTTATGAGGCCTGTGTCACTGATGCTCACCAGACACACAGCACTGTGTAGTCTGTGACTGGCCTAGCCAGGGGGGTGGGAGACTGGGCTGGAGGGGTACACCAGGGGTACACCAGAAACCCCCTGACCCAAAGCCTGCCTGCCTCTCTCTCTCTCTGGTCCAAAACAATTTAGGAGGCTGGTTTCCAGAAAACTTTGTAACCAAACGTAGCGAGAGATATTATATGGCTCTGATGCAGACAGTTTTTTATTAGTTCAGAAATGTTTCTATAGTCAGTTAAAATCTTTTGGGGCCAGATACCTTTGTCTGGCATGGTAACATCATTTCGAAAAAGTAAGAATAAATATTCTTCTAATATGAACAATCCAGTTTCATGTCCATTCAGATATACAACTGAGACAACCTAGCAGAGAGCTTGCACTATAGGGGTTTAGGTCTGGGTTGCTGCTATAAACTTGCTTACCAATGTACTTTTGAAAAGCATGATACAAATAAAAAGTGATTGGTTGGTTGATTGATTAATGGAAACCTGCACAGCTCCCCATAGAGAGCACAGCACTACTGTATGAGTTCTATAGTAAAAAAAAAAAACTAATATAAACCTGTATTCATACCCAATGGAAAACCACAACACTGTCCTCTGCTGGGGACTTCACATAACAACAATAACAATGCATTCACAGACAGTATCAAAGGATATACGGAATTATTGAATAACAGTGTTTGCATTATACAGTGTGTGTGTATGTAGTGTAGCAGGGTCTTACCCTGGGTGATGGTCCTGAGGATGATGGGAGAGGAGACGTGTGTGGGGACTGGGGCTCCTGCAGAGAGGAGGCGGTGGAGGGGGGGATCCTGGTCTTCAGGGGGCCGCTGGGGTCCTGCTGCTGGGTCGGAGCCCTGGATACCTCTTCACCAGATGCCGCAGAGTGGACGACAGAGCCACGGTCTACACACATAGAAGCACACACAGTCACACACACAAATGTGCCCACACACACACAGTCAGTGGGAGACCAGCGTTGTGATTAAATCTACAGAGATTATGTTTCTGGCCTGTTTCTGGTTCAAACTCAACATGTTGCAGTAATACTACAGCATGTGATTCCAGTTTAAACATCAAGCATATCAAATAGCTGCCCTGACACTGCCTGACAAACACACACAGACACACACGTTTCAGTTCTGCGTTGTGTTGGATCCGGGATGGCATCTATGCTGGCTGTTGACTCACTGGGCTGGGCATGTTTTCATTGAGAACCAGATAGAGATACTGTGTCCCATTCTATCCAGCGGGGTCTGAGCCTCTGTCAGTGAGATGTCTGTTCCCCAGCCACACACACAGACTGTTCTAATGTACCCAACACTAATAAACCACATACTGGCCAGGCCAGCACAGGACACAGTCCAACACACAGGATTTAATAAAATAATGTTGAAACTCAACTGGACGTTAAATCAAAGGCTTTCTCACAGCTGGGAGGAGAATGTGGTCTTATTTTCTTTGTGGTGTTGTGTTGTGTTGAATTGTGTAGTATAGTGTATTACCTGTGTGCTGTTGTCTATTTCTCTCAGGCTCCAGTGTATAAACTTGATCAGGGACAGGGTGACAGAGGGGTCTGATGATGCAGAGACCTGCTGCAGCTGCTCTACCAACGGACGCAACACCTAGAGACAGGACAACAACAACAGAATATAAACAATACAATATAAACCACAAAACAGAGGATCAACACAAAGCCTGGGACATCATAACAACATAAACACATGGCTAAACAAGCCAAAACAACCGCCAACCCCCCGGCCTAGTCCAGTCCAGACCTCCCACCTTAGAGCACCTGTGGTTGAGAGAGACAGCTGGAGACTTGTGCTGCTGACCCTGGGCTGTCCTGCGGAGGAAACGCCTGTCCGTCTAGAACCCAGTCCAATAGCAAAGTCAGCAGCCTGAGAGGGGCAGGCTGGACTTACACTGCCCTGCAGAATGAGACAACCAGAAACACTCATCACTGTCATCATCATCAATATTATGTATGGTTGGGGCAGTGGTATCCAAAGTCGGGGTCGCAACGCCAAAATTGAGTACAGACTTAGGCCTATGGGACAATTTACACACGTTTTTGAGAAAGATCATTTGAATAATCTGATCATTTATTTTATTTTCATTTTGATAACAGATGAAAATGCAATTAATTTAAGGTTATTTGTTGATGTAAAAATCTAAATGTACCAATTTTAAGGCTTATGGGCAAATTTACAAACGTTTTTGAGAAAGATGATTTGAATAATTGTTTTCTTTTCATTTTGATAAGAGATGAAAATGCAATGAATTTAAGGTTATTTGTTGATGTAAAAATCTAAATGTACAGATTTTAAGATTGCGTTACTAAATCTGGGATGGCGTTGCGATACTTTTTGGGGGGGAAATGGTGTCCGTCTGGCGGAAAAAATGAAAAAGTTTAAATATCACTGGGTTAGGTTCTGAGTATACTCACACACCACTTCAAGTATGTGTGTGTGTACCTCCTCCTGCTCTAGCAGTCTATTTTCTCTGTCCTGGAGCTGGGCCGACCACTGTTGCTGGCTCAAACGCTATGCCTGTAGTTGTTCGTAGATGTGCAGCATCTCCTGGTAGACCTGTCCCATCACTGAGGGGCAGGAGGAAGAGAATACAGTGGAGGACAGCTGCTGCCTCACCCCTCTCACCCCCTGGGTTGGTGACAGCCTGGAACAGCTCTGTTTTAACCTCTTATCTCCCTGGTGGTGGTGCGTCGACACCTGGGGGACTTCACCACTCTCTGCTGCTCAACATGGTAGTGTCTTCCACTCAGCCCAGCTGCTTTCTGCTCTGTAGAGACCTAGCGATCATATGCCAATAGTTAGCTTAATAGTTAGCTATAGCATGTTCAGTCACTGCATGTACGTGCAAAACCTAGTAGTACGTTTATATAACAAACTACCTAGATAGCTAGCTCGCTAGTCGTGGTTGTTCCCTTGGTAACGAGGGATCCAGCTAGCTAAATAGTAAAGCTAAGCAGGCAAACTAACCCGTTTCCTCTCCTGATATTTCCTTTTCAGCCTCTAAATCATAACGTCCACATCGCTCTCTGACGATTCGTTGCTCATTTTGAGGTTTCACACAGATGGATTGTTGTTCAACAAACTCCAAAACAAAATCACAGTCAACTTGTTGTCATTTTGAATTCTGTGCATTTTTGATCAACCGGAAATGAAATACCTGCTGTCATCCTGAGGAGGGCGCCATTACACAACAATTCTGACATTGTGCTCGTGCTGTCTGTGGGACGGTCACTGCTGTTGAAGCCTTCTGTGTTCAGTGCTGGGATGAATCTATCAACCTGTTCAACATGCTGTCAATTTATAAACTCACATGTATAGGCTACATTCAGATACTGTTAAGACCAGCTATCCCTTGCCTCAGAATAATGTAAAATTGTAATATTAGTTCCCCACCCAGATGGTATTTAGCAGGTTAAAGGTGAGATAGATTTCATACTGTATGAATCATAGAATACCTAATCTCTACCCTGCTATACTGTAGATACTGTCTGGGTGTAGAGGGAACTGTACCATCAGAGGGGAGGCACGTTCCATAAAACCATGCCATCCCCCCTCTTTCTAGTGTCATAGGTGTCATATTCTCCTTATGAGAATACACTGTATCACATTCTCATTTTAAAACCATATAATTTTGTTATTAATTTAAAAAACAAATCCCCCTACATTTGCCTCACAAAAAATGCCCCCTGGAACTACAGTAAAGAAAATATGTGCTATTCTAAATGTATGAGTGGGAGTAGAATAATGGGTTTTCCAGCACTTCCTGTGCACACTCATTATCCTGCTGTGCTTAGGAGTGTTCTGGAACAGAGCTCTCTGTGCTACTGGTGGAGGAAACGGGTGGGGCAACTCTCTTACCTCCTTAATCAGCTATAGAGCTATAGAGGTCTCTGTATTAAGACCACAGAATATAAAGTACCCATACGGCAGATAAGATCAAAGTTGCACTGTATAAGTGGAATATTTACTGTAGTTTATTAACAACACTTTAAACACTACTTTGGTGGGTTAAACAAAAATAATGATCACAACAAATATTGTTTGGGGAATAAAAGTTGAAATTCTTTTGATATGTTTTATTTCAGATATGTCTACAGAGCAGACTAGCTTGGGGAGGTTGATAGTTATAGAACAGACAGAAACACCATGATAAGCTATTCTGTTTCAGTCTGTTTTTGTCCTTTCAATGTCATTAAACACCATCCCGGCCACGTCAATAACCCATCCAAACAAGAAAATGATGATCTCAGGGCTCTCCATAAATAGACTCTTATGGATCTGAGGTCCTCCTAACTTACCTCCAGAGCTCAGCAATGTGCCAGTCCCATTAGACTGACCTGGCTGGAGTGTCTCATAGTCTTGACAGAGTCTTACAGGTCATTTTCTCCAGTAAAACATTTTAAGTCTCTTGTCTTTACTCTCTGTCGATAGTCTCTGATCTCAGGCAGTCAGATACCATCCCGGGCCCAACACAACTCAGAACTGAAAGCCGTGCACGTGTTTGTGTGTGTGTGCATGTGTGTCCTCTCCGTCTCTGTCAGAGGCGATGCCTACACCTAACCAGTCTCTGGAAGGCCTTCTTAAAGTCCTCATTGAAGATAGTGTAGATGAGAGGGTTGATGAGGGAGTTGAGGTACCCCAGCCAGGTGAGGAAGTCAGCCAGCTCTATGGAGGTGCTGCAGGAGCCACATGTGTTGATGATCACCTCCTTCAGGAAGAAAGGCAGCCAGCAGACCACGAAGGCCCCCAGTATCAGCCCTAATGTAGATGCAGCCCGCCGCTCCCTGGTCCCCGAGATACGCTGCCGTCTCAACGAACACTCACGCTCCTGCCTCGACTCACTTTGGGGACTCTTTACAGTAATGCGCACGCGGTCTCCCTCTGTGGTGGGGTCTGAGTAGGACTTCTCCTGGGGGTTCAGGGTGTCGGGGCTATGGGGGTCCCCATCAGGGGGGCAGGAGGGGAGGGTGGTTCCGTTGACCATGGAGGAGTGTTGGCTGGCCCCCCTGCTGGCCCCCCTGCGGAGGTACAGAGTCTGAGCTGCTCTGTAGATCTTATAGTAGAGGATGAGGATGAGGAGCAGGGGGATATAGAAGGCTCCCAGGGTGGAGTAGAGGGTAAAGGCGATGTGGTGGTGAGTTATCAGACACTGGTCCTCTTCCGGCTCCCCACCATGGTTCCTCCACAAGAGAGGGGGAAGGGATATGAGGACGGACAGAAACCAGACCACGCCGACAGTGATCCCGGCTCGGAGGCTAGTGCGTTTGCGCGAATACTCCACGGCGTCAGTGATGGCCCGGTAGCGGTCTAGAGCAATGGCTGCCAGGTGGAGGATGGAACAGGTGCAGCAGGTGATGTCAACACTCAGCCACATGTAACACACAGACTCTCCCATCTGCCAGCTCTCCCTGAGAATTCAGACAGAATAATGATAGTGATTATGTTTGTTACAGCACTTCATTATTAAGTACTTTATTATAATGCTCACAAACTGTACACTGAGTGAACAAAACATTAAGAACACCTGCTCTTTCCATGACATAGACTGACCAGTTGAATCCAGGTAAAAGCTATGATCCCTGATTGATGTCACTTGTTAAATCCACTTCAATCAGTGTAGATGATTGAAGTGGAGACAGGTTAAAGAAGGATTTTTAAGCCTTGAGATAATTGAGACATGGATTGTGTATGTGTGCCATTCAGAGGGTGAATGGGCAAGACAAAAGATTGAAGTACCTTTGAACGGGGGTATGGTAGTAGGTGCCAGGCGCACGGTTTGTGTCAAGAACTGCAACGCTGCTGGGTTTTTCACTCTCAACAGTTTCCCGTGTGTATCAAGAATGGTCCACCACCCAAAGGACCAGCTTAATTGACACAACTGTGGGAAGCATTGGAGTCAACATGGGCCAGCATCCCTGTGGAACGCTTTGACACCTTGTAGAGTCCATGCCCCAACGAATTGAGGGAGTTCTGAGGGCAAAAGGGTGGTTGCAACTCATTATTAGCAAGGTGTTCTTAATGTTTTGTACACTCAGTGTATACTTTGATAAAATAAGTATTTTAAGCATATATGGGCATCTGAAATGCTGTAAGACACTTTATGCTGCAATACAAATCAATCAATTGTGCAAAAATTCGTTGAATCTATGTAGCAACCTCTGTATGTAGAGGATGCTGAATGGCATGACCAAGATGGCCACCAGCAGGTCTGTCACCGCCAAAGAGCAGATCAGGTAGTTGGCCGGGTGATGCAACTTCCTGGTTACGATGATGGCTGTGATCACCAGGGAGTTGATGGCTGTTGTCATGACAGCGAGCAGGGACAGGGTGAGGGTGAGGAGGATCTTACTTGGGGGGGTTATAGAAACCTCTTCACCCCCATCGCCCAGGGAGAAGAACCCCTCTGTACAGTTAGACAAGTCCATCCTAGAGAGGAGAGGAGAAGAGGGGAGGGGAAGGGAAATGGGGGGAGGAGAGGAGAGGAGGATAAGGGTCTGCAAAAAGGCTAGCTGTATATAGATGAACGGTGCGTAAGAGTTCAAAACGTACTCACACTCAAACCATGTAGATAAGGACTTCAGAAAGACCAGACATGATGAATGAACCTTAATCCTCCATAGCTGTAAAAGCTGTGTGTACCTCTGTAAAGTGTGTTCATTGGTGTGTCTCCTCCAGCAGTAACCCCTGTGTCAGTAGCTTCTTATCCGCAGGCTCTCTGGTCTCTCTGGACTCAACAATGATGTCACACACACACACCTGGAGAGAGAGAGAGAGAGAGAGAGAGAGAGAGAGAAGAGAAAGAATCAACAATGAGAGTCCAGCTGCTGATTTCATAACCCCCACCCCCCAACTACCCACATACATACTCACCCTTGATGAAATCACTGATCAAAGCCATGACCCTCATCACATGCACGCACACGTGCAAACACACACGCGCATACACACAGTGCAACACTGATCAAAGGGAGTACAATCTGCACAAAAGGAGACGCTCATCTCTGTGTGTGGTTTGGTGTGTGTGTTTTGTGTATGTGTGTGCGTTTGTCTGTGTGTGTGTGTGGATACTTGTCCCTGAAGACAGTATTTCTGTACTCTAGCTACCACTTCTTTAGAGTTTATCAATAAAGAAGTGAAACTAAGTGCATTCAACAGTTTTCATATGAAAGCACTCATCATGCTGATTTCCTTGTATTTCTACAGTTAGCTGTGAGAAGCCTGTCTCAAGGTGGAACAGTTGTCATAGCAACTATGATTTTCTTTTTGTGAAGGATGGATTTGAAGAAAAGCACAACTCAAGTTAGATAAACTCTCAGACATCATTAAATGTACACATATGCATGCACGATCACACATCAGAAACATTGCCTAGCTAAACATTGCCTCTCTCTCTCTTTCTCTACCTCTCTCTCTTTCTCTAACTCTCTCTCTCTCTCTCTCTCTCTCTCTCTCTCTCTCTCTCTCTCTCTCTCTCTACCTTACCTGCTGTCTCGACCTCTGAATGCTCGGCTGTGAAAAGCCAACTGACATTTACTCCTGAGGTGCTGACATGTTGCACCCGCTACAACCACTGTGATTATTATTTGACCCTACTGGTCATCTAACAGCCGCGAGCTGCCCAGTGACACAAGACTTCCAGACGAGCTAAACCACTTCTATGCTCGCTTCGAGGCAAGCAACACTGAAGCATGCATGAGAGCACCAGCTGTTCCGGATGACTATGTGATCACACTCTCCGTAGCCGATGTGAGTAAGACTTTTAAGCAGGTCAACATTCACAAGGCCTCAGGGCCAGACGGATTACCAGGACGTGTACTCCGAGCATGTGCTGACCAACTGGCAAGTCTTCACTGACATTTTCAACATGTCCCTGACTGAGTCTGTAATACCAACATGTTTCAAGCAGACCACCATAGTCCCCGTGCCCAAGGACACTAAGATAACCTGCCTAAATGACCCGTAGCACTGACATCTGTAGCCAAGAAGTGCTTTGAAAGGCTGGTCATGGCTCACATCAACACCATTACCCCAGAAACCCTAGACCCACTCCAATTTGCATACCGCCCCAACAGATCCACAGATTATGCAATCTCTATTGCACTCCACACTGCCCTTTCCCACCTGGACAAGAGGAACACCTACGTGAGAATGCTATTCATTGACTACAGCTCAGCATTCAACACCATAGTGCCCTCAAAGCTCATCACTAAGCTAAGGATCCTGGGACTAAACACCTCCCTCTGCAACTGGATCCTGGACTACCTGACGGGCTGCCCCCAGGTGGTAAGGGTAGGTAACAACACATCTGCCACACTGATCCTCAATACGGGGGCCCCTCAGGGGTGCGTGCTCAGTCCCCTCCTGTACTCCCTGTTCACCCATGACTGCATGGCCAGGCACGACTCCAACACCATCATTAAGTTTGCAGACGACACAACAGTGGTAGGCCTGATCACCGACAACGATGAGACAGCCTATAGGGAGGAGGTCAGAGACCTGGCCGTGTGGTGCCAGGATAACAACCTCTCCGTCACCGTGACCAAGACAATGGAGATGATTGTGGACTACAGGAAAGAAAAAAGGACTGAGCATGCCCCCATTCTCATCGACGGGGCTGTAGTGGAATAGGTTGAGAGCTTCAAGTTCCTTGGTGTCCACATCACCAACAAACTATCATGGTCCAAACACACCAAGACAGTCGTGAAGAGGGCACGACAAAGCCTATTCCCCCTCAGGAGACACTGACAAAGATTTGGCATGGGTCCTCAGATCCTCAAAAAATTATTCAGCTGCACCATCGAGAGCATCCTGACTGGTTGCATCACTGCCTGGTATGGCAACTGCTCGGCCTCCGACCGCAAGGCACTACAGAGGGTAGTGCGTACGGCCCAGTATATCACTGGGGCCAAGCTTCCATCCAGGACCTCTATACCAGGCGGTGTCAGAGGAAGGCCCTCAAAATTGTCAAAGACTCCAGCCACCCTAGTAATAATAATAATAATAATATGCCATTTAGCAGACGCTTTTATCCAAAGCGACTTACAGTCATGCGTGCATACATTTATTTGTGTATGGGTGGTCCCGGGGATCGAACCCACAACCTTGGCGTTACAAGCGCCGTGCTCTACCAGCTGAGCTACAGAGGACCACGTCATATACTGTTCTCTCTGCTACCGCACGGCAAGCGGTACCGGAGTGCCAAGTCTAGGTCCAAAAGACTTCTCAACAGCTTCTACTCCCAAGCCATAAGACTCCTGAATAGCTAATCATGGCTACCTGGACTATTTGCACTGCCCTCCCACCTCCACCCCCACCCCATCTTTTTACGCTGCTGCTACTCTGTTAATGATTTATGCATAGTCACTTTAACTCTACCCAAATGTACATATTACATCAACTACCTCAACTAGCCTGTGCCCCCCGCACATTGACTCTGCACCGGTTCCCCCTGTATATAGCCTCCCTACTGTCATTTTATTTGACTTCTGCTCTTTTTTTCTCAACACTTTTTTGTTGTTTTTTTATTTTACTTTTTTATTAAAAAATAAATGCATTGTTGGTTAAGGGCTGTAAGTAAGCATTTCACTGTAATGTCTACACCTGTTGTATTCGGCGCATGTGGCCAATAACATTTTATTTTATTTTATTTGATCTATGAACGTTTGAACATCTTGAAGAACGATTTGGCATTAATGGTCATGTACTCTTATAATCTCCACCCGGCACGAACAGAAGAGGACTGGCCACTCCTCAGAGCCTGGCTCCTTTCTAGGTTTTTTCCTAGGTTCCTGCCTTTCTAGGGAGTTTTTCCTAGCCACAGTGCTTCTACATCTGCATTGCTTGCTGTTTGGGGTTTTGGGATCTCTTTGTTACATCTGCTCTCCCAAACCTCTATCCTGTCTGTCAGTATATCACCTGTCTGTGAGTCTGTTCCTCCAGAGTTTACACAATATAGAACACTTCTACTCATTTAAAGTCAAGGAACGGCACATACTGTACTGTAGTAACGCACTGTATTTAAGTATGTAGTGTTTCTCACCAGAGTGGTTCATTTAAACCCGTCAGCTTCAGTGTGTTTGTGTGTGTGTGTGTGTGTGTGTGTGTGTGTGTGTGTGTGTGTGTGTGTGTGTGTGTGTGTGTGTTGATTGAAATCATAGGGACTGATACCTGATGCTGTGTAATTGGAATGCACCAATTTAAATGTAAATTTGTGGATTGAAGCGCTAGGACTGGGAGAGTGACATGTCCCCCTGGAGATGCAAAGCTTAGCATGACTAATTTAACAAGCTGGAGGTAGACCTGTTTCAGTTGAACTGGGATTTAAACAGACCTGTTTAATTTGAACTGGGTTTGAAACAGACCTGTTTCAGTAGAACTGAGATTCAAACAGACCTGTTTCAGTTGAACTGAGATTTAAACAGACCTGTTTCAATTGAACTTGGATTTCAAAAGACCTGTTTTAGCCTAGGTTTGGAGTATGAAAATAATGCATCAATCTTTAAAAAATGTCTCCCTCCATCTACACTATCTATCTGTGTTGAGATGTAATCTGCTTCTATAAAGCGCTCTGGAGACAGAGCAGAACAGACAGGACACCAAGCAGCAGTCTACTGAGGTGCAGAGAGACCAGAGGCGGTGAGGTGATACTGGGTGACACACATATGGCATTTGATTATTGTTACTTCAATTGTCCAACACACACACACACACACACACACAGACAGACACAAACACAGACACACCACCACCACCACCGGTCAATACTGTTACAGACACACTCATCTCCCTGACGACTGTCTCAGGCTGAACTGAGGGATAAGGATGAGTGGCTTCTGTTGGTGGTGAATGTTTGTGGATGAACACACACAAACACGCACACACACTACATGACAAGCAGTGATTACTCTGTATTGATTTGAGTATAATCAGTGGAATGAACTAATTTAGGATGGAGTGTGTGTGTCATGCATACTTCCTCCTCTCAGCAGGATCACATCCTGCTAATTATTCACCTCACTGTATGACTGTGTAATGAGGCACCATGTCTAAGGTGGCTGTATTAGGGTGAGAGACAGGGCCTATTTAAGGTTAGGTGGGCTGCTGTATTAGGGTGAGAGACAGGGCCTATTTAAGGTTAGGTGGGCTGCTGTATTAGGGTGAGAGACAGGGCCTATTTAAGGTTAGGTGGGCTGCTGTATTAGGGTGAGAGACAGTGCCTATTTAAGGTTAGGTGGGCTGCTGTATTAGGGTGAGAGACAGGGCCTATTTAAGGTTAGGTGGGCTGCTGTATTAGGGTGAAAGACAGGGCCTATTTAAGGTTAGGTGGGCTGTTGTATTAGGGTGAGAGACAGGGCCTATTTAAGGTTAGGTGGGCTGCTGTATTAGGGTGAGAGACAGGGCCTATTTAAGGTTAGGTGGGCTGCTGT